TCCCTCTTATAAGATGCATGAACCTACGTTCTCTGAGGTCTGAGGCCCAAGCGTAAGGCTTTGCATTTATTTTTATGTTCCAGTTTCCTGGAGATGAAGGAAATGGAACCTGGATTTGAAGGTGGAATGGTTTTGGATAGGTGTCAAGGAGGCCCTTTCTGGAGGGAGGAAGAGTGAAAGCAACGGTGTGGGGTGGGATGAGCACACAGAGGAAGGGAGAGGTGGCCCTCTGGGCGCCTTTGGGCCCTCTGGGCATCCTGGGAAAGAGCACTCCTCTCCCTCTGACTTGACCTCCTCCCCCAGGAAACCTTCTTGTGCCCTTCCTGAAATGGATGGGAGGTGACCCTGAGTGTGACAACACTGGGGTGGCCAGGGTGCTTCACTTCCATACAGCCTTGAGACAGCTGTGGCCAGATGTGGACTTCTTCCTGCCTCCTCTGTCCCTCTGCAGGAGATGTGCCCCAGAGCCTCCCCAGCTTCCTTGTGGCCCACTGTGGAGACCCCGCCTCCTGGATCTACTCAGACCAAAAGTGTGATGGAACCAACAACTGCGGAGACTGCTCAGATGAGCTGAGCCCAGGTTGGGTCAGACTAGGCTGGAGCAGGTGGCCAGAGGTGGTCAGCCTCTGACCAGGGAATGTCCAAGGTTCTCCCTGCATGTTTTCCCCGCCCTCCAGGAAGAAGTTTTCTACCTCTGCTTAATTACCTCCAGGATGGGGTGCTCACTACCACTCCAAGAGGCTCCTTCTGGAGATTCATTCTTCTGTGGTGGGGAACTTACCTTCAAGGGCATAAGGAATCTGGCGCCCAGAGGGTGGTGATGCAGGGAGCACATACGTGGCCCAACTGGGATTTGAACCTGGGTTTCCCTCATCTCCTCTGCACCTCCCAGCAACCCCGTGAGGAAAGCAGGGCAGGAATCACTGCCCCAATTTATATATAGGTAAACTGAGGCTCCACAATGAAAAGGGACTTAATATAGTGAGTGACAGGAAGGGAGCTTGGGTTTAAACCCAGGTCTTCTGACTCTACCTCTGGAGTCCTTTCACTGCCCCAGACTGTCCTTTAAACCTCTTCCCCAGTGT